ATAAACCCTATTTAAACTGAGGTCACACTGACTCCAGGTCCTGTTTATGAAATCCGTCCCAACCCAGAGGTCAAAAGGAAGCAGATTCTCAGGTTTTGCTCCAGACCTGCTGAATCAGCAACTCTGTGGTGGCACCCAGCAATTTGTGTTTTCATAGGCTCTCCAGGTGATTCAGATACATGCACAAAAGAGAAGATACGCTTTGAGAATCATTGGCTTTTTTTACGCCAATGGTTCTCAAACAATAGCATGCATCTGAATCACCTGGAGGGCCTGTGAAAGCACAAATCTCTGGGCCCCACTCCAGAGTTGCTGATTCAGCAGGTCTGGAGCAAAACCTGAGAATCTGCTTTGTATTGATCTCAAAACAAAATATAATAACCTTAAAAGAAAATAAGATTAATTTATGTTATTAAAATTGAGAATTTGTAAAAATAATCACAAAAGAGAAAAATACAGGCTTCAACCTGGAAGATATATGCAATATATAAAAATGAAAAAGAATTTAACACAGAACTTCAAATCTTTAAGGAAAAGAAAAACTCATTTTTTAAATGGACAAAAGACAGAAACAGGTGTTTCTTAGAAGAGAAACATGAATAATCAGAGAGATAAACAAAACCACAAGAAAATATTTTATACCAACTAGTTTGGCAATAATTGAAAAGTCTGAAGAAGATGCATGTAGGCAAGGATGTGCTACACGAGAACTCTTATACGCTGCTGGCAGGAACATAATTGGTGTCAATTACTTTGGAAAACAATTTAGCATTTTTTTTTTTTAAGATGAGTATATAATTTCATTCCTAGGTATATGCCCAGAGAAACTTTTGCATATGAGAACCAAGAGAAGTGCATATGAATGTCCAATGCTGCATTGTTTGTAACAGAAAATAACTGAAATAGCCCAAATGCCTAAAAGCAGAATGGATAAGTAAATTTGTGGTATATTTATACAATGGAATACTAAAGTAAAAAATGAATGAACTAGAGGAAGCAATACAGCTAGAGGAAGCAATACAGTTGAATCGGTACAATGAAAAAAATGTTGCAATAGAATATATATATTATAAGACTTTTTTAAAAGTTAAAGCAAACCTAAACAATATCTTGTTTAGGGATTCACAGTATTTGGTAAAATTACAAAGAAACAGGGAATGAGAAAAAGCTTTCAGGAAGATGGTTACCTCTAGGGGCTGGGATAGGTAGAGAGATGTGGGATCAAGGTAGGTATAGTCCTGTTTCCAAATAAGGTTAGATGGTGGAATCATGGGAATTAATTTTATTATAATTCATAGCTTCCATATACACACGGTTTGTTATTTTTTAAAAATGCCCAAGAGGCTAAATCTCACAAGTAGAAAAGAATTCTACACTTGAAATGCTTTACAATGCATAGATACGTATGAGGAAGTGTGAAGACCTTTCAATCGTTTTTGCTTGTCTTGTTTTGCTGTTTGCCTCCCCCGACTCTCCTTTCTTTATTTACTGAAACAAACCAGACGCTGACTTCGTTTGGCAGGTAAATTCTAATTTTACACATAGTGGCTAAACCAAACCCCAGGAGCACTAAGGTGAGAGGATCTGATCTTGACAATCTCTCCCATGCTCCCCCTATTCTGTGGTAGGTTTGTTTCTTGAGTTGTACTGAGGAGAGAGGGCAAACTAACCTCACAAACTCAAGATGAATGCCCTGCATGCAATTATACTTTGCAATTGATGTGCATAGCAGTTGTGGTTATGTAAGCAAGCCACAAGTAGGCTGTTACACTTGCTCCCAGTGGGACTTCCTTTCCTACAGCCACTAGTGGCAGTTTGAAGAAACTCCATTTAAGAGAGAACAGGCCTTGTTGACTCAGAAAGAGAAGCCAAAAAGGAAAAAAAAAAAAACAAGAAAAAAAAAAGAAAGAGAAACCACTTTTCCCTTCTACTCTTAATCTAAGAAATCTGAAAAGTATGTAAAGTATGTGGCTCGTGTATTTTTGCAACTAGGAATATGGAGGCAGGAATCTTTATAAATCATAAGGACAGAGCTTAGCTTCTATCAAAAGTGAAGAAAGCATGTTTAGAATTGGTTTCTTTCCATTGAGAAAGGAAATGTTCTTTAATTTTTTCCTGAGCACAGCCAGATGATCTGTTCTGTCACTTCTGTGGAGAAGCAATGAAAATAATGTCAAAACAGCTTTTGTGCAACAAAGAAAACAAAGTTAGAATGTAGTCATCTTTCCCAGGATAGGAATAGGAAACCATTCACCTGGTTCCTGAAAGAAACAGCAGAAGGCACCAAACGTGACATGTTTGTGATGAGGGGATGCTGTTTGCTCATTTAGTTTAACAAAGGTCTGTATACATGATTTTTATGTATCATATGTGACTCACTTACATTTAAAATGAAAGAGCCACATGTTCAAGTCAAAAAAGATATATTTTAAAATTTAATAATCCCTCCAACCAATCCCACCCACTCCCATACCTTCCATATCTACACATATGTGCTTTTTTCCTTTCTTTCTTTCCTTTTATCCTCCAAATGACATTTTACTATACACATTACTCTCCAATATTTTTCTACTGAAATACATAGCATAGATTTCACTGTTGGTCAGAGATAGAGCTATAGTCTCTGTAAGAGTTGTATAATAGCCATAAATTATTTAAGCATCCCCTTATTTGGACATTCCTGCCTATACAATGCTACACTAAACATCCTTTTTAGAATTCCTTATGTGACAGTATTTTATTTCCACTCCCCCCAAATGCGAGATTACTAAGTTTATGTATTTTAAGTTTTCTTTCCTCTCAAAGTATTTAAGCCTATATTCCTCTGAGAACCATTTTGGCTAAGGCTCATTATTGTAAAGTTAAGTATTCTCTTTTTTGCTAATTCCTAGATATTTCCAAATTTTAAATATTAAGATATAGAGTATTAATTGTTTTTTAGAAAATCCGCCTTAAAAGGATTAATGTAATAACAAAAAAGGCATATCTAGTATAGAAAGCTTTTTGTGGCTGAGTGAAAAGGGGGAAAGAATGAAGAAGTACAAATTAGTAGCTACAAAACAGCCGTGGGGATGTAGAAAACAGCATAGGGAATATAGTCAAAATCATTGCAATGGCTGTGTGTAGTGCCAGATGGGTGCCAGAGTAATCGGGGGGATCACTTTATAAATTATATAAATGTCTAACCATTGTACTGTATACATGAAACTAATACAAAATAATGAAAATAAAAAATTTAAAAATTAGCTTTAAAACCATATTCTTATAATCATCATCATCATCATCATCATCATCACCATCATCCAAGAAATGCGTGTGTTTAGAAGATACAGGAAGTAAAAAGAAAAATAATCAACTGGAATCCAACTACCTAGAGATCAACAGTGTTAACAGTCTAGTGCATCTTTCCAGATGTTCAAAGAACGCCTTGGCATATAACTAATTCCGTAAAGGCATTTATTTAGTCCATTTTAACTATTGGACTCAGAAGCACAGAACCCTCTTATAGAGTAGCTACAAAGATTTTAGATGGTTTCTATTCTAGTCCTCAGAGACATGGTCCTTCATTGAGGATACTCAAACACAGGCTAATTGTGGGGACATTGTGGAAACAATGGAACTAAATGCTTTGTAGGGAGGGCCCAGGACTTGGCCAGATCGAGGCCTGAGTCCCAGCTCTACCATTAGCAGTGTAACCTGTGCGTCCTCAGCATCTGTAAGGGCTATCTCACTTAAAGGACTATGTGAGATGAGTAGAATGCTTCACATAGTTCTCAGGCTCTAGAATTCTGCATTCTGAGGTGGCATAAAGGAAGCGGAGCAAAGCCAGAGGAATGGACCACTGGAAGCAGAACAGCCAGCCGAGAAAGGTCCTAAAGAGATACCAGTAAGTTAAGAGTGTCCCCAAGCAACTGACAGCATGTTGTTGCCATCCTACTCTCTAAGGGGAGAGGATCCACCAGCTTGTATCTGCAGAGGAAGCTGCCTCCCAGATGTGAGGCAGTGGCTAGGCTTAGCCATCCACTTCGAGATTTTTGCCTTGTTCCTTCTTGATCAAGAAGATGATGTTTGATGCAGGGTTTCCCCTATGCTCCTCTCCTGTCTGGCACCCAATCTTTACCTCCAGGCATTGTAATGAAAACTTAAATAATAATTAGTGTCCATATAGATATTAACTTTTGTTCAATTAACATTCAAAAGGCTTTTCTTTAAGAAGAAAAATGACAAATAAATGTCCGATAAGTCCTTTTTTTGAGAGGTCATACATTCATCTATTTTAAGATATGCCTTGTAATTTTGTGATTTCACTCCAGTTTCTCACTTCTCCTACATCTCCAGAAAAATAAAATTCACAATGATGTCTCAATAAGGTACCTGAATATATACTATACTAACTAAAGAAAGAAAGTACATCAACAAAGTTTACAAAGATTTTTCAACAAAGTGGTTAACGCCTAAAAGACTTTTAAAATTCATCCTTACTTTAGTGACCTAGAAAAGCCAAATTCCTATCACACTCCATTAACTTAAGTTTAAATACAGGCTCTCAAAAGTATGTGTTTTTAGTAAGTGAAGAAAGAGGAAAAATAAACACTGAGCCTTCAAAATCTAACAAAGAAACAGATATTAATTCATCTCTTCACTGGTAAAGTTAAACCTAGAAAATAGAAGTGACAGAATGTGTGGAAGAAATGTACAGCTCTCATCTATGCTAGTTTATTCAGCACATAAACCTTAACAACAATGGCAGTTTAGATGTTATGCAATAGCAATTTCCCCACATACATATGCCCATATTTAAAATCTCACATTCAAGTTTGTAGACTATGAATGCTGCAGTTCCCATGCCCCCTCAGGGGAAAATACTTAAAATGTAAACAAGTGAAACAAGGACTAGTGGAATGGGAAGATAATTTCCAACGGACTATTAACATATAGAAAACATCTACAGTATCTGAATTGTTTTTTACATCTTGTTCATAAATATATAAGACACTGACCTGTAAGAAGTAGAGTATAACGACTATTAGTCCAACCCAGCTATGCAGACTGTACATATTGCGGATTTGCAAGGTGTTGTGGAAATCAAAAGCAGCCACCAGAGAAATAATTGCAAGAATGGCAGCAACAGTATTTAACCCTGCATGGATGGATTTCATCAGGAGCTTGCTGCATTTCCAGGTCCATGGCAGTCTGTATACAATGATGGCTAGAGAGAGACAAAAAGAAACAGAATGTAGTTTTTTTTTTTTAACCATCACAAGATACACAGTTTAACGCAGTGAACACTCCCATGAAACCCTTTCTCTTGGCTTCTGCTTCTCCCCTCTTCCCTGTCTCTCAATGGTTCCTTCTTGGGCTCTTTTGCTGGCATACTCCTTACTCCCAACTTGTGAACAAACCTTATTCTTCTTCTCCACTCTCCGTGGGTGATCTCTTTCACTCTTTCATTGACATGCTACTTACATGGCAGGGACTCTAAAATTTATATCTCCAGCCCAGAACTTTCTTCCGAACTCCAGACCCACGTAAGCTAATGGCCTCTTGACATCTCCATATAGATGCCTCCCAAATATCTCAAAATTCATACATCCATAACTAAATTCTTAATCTTATAATCTGGTTTCTTTATATAAATATTTTAGTTTCATAAGAAAAAGGCAGACTAAGGATTATAAAAATATGCAGAAAGCTTTAAATAAACAAAAGAGTATATCCAAGTAGCTAATAAACATAAGAAAAATGTCAACTTCACTAGTCAAGAGGAAAAGGCAAATTAAAATCAAATGAGAATACCTCTACCACATATCTGAATGGCTAATGAATATTGAGAGGATGTGAAGCAATCAAAACTCTCATGTTCTGCTAATGGGAGTTTAAGTGAGAACACACACTTTGGGAAACTGGCAGCATCTACTTAAGCTAAACTTATGCATACCTTATGGTCCAGCAATTCCATTCCTGGGCATATACCCCAAAGAAATACATACATTCACCAAAAGACATATACTACAATATTATTAGCAGCACTATCTATAGTGGCCAAAACCTGGACACTCTCCCAAATGCCCATCATCAATAGAATGAATAAATTGTGATATATTCCTACCATGTACTAATATGCGGCAAAGAGAATAAATGATCTATAACTAGAACTTCACTCAACAATATGGATCGACCTATGATGTCAATCCCAAGAAAGAAGACATAAATATATACCGTATGATTCAATTCATATGAAGTATAAAAACAGGCAAAAAGTCAGGAGAGTGGTTGCCCTTGTGAGGAAGGGGCATAGCAACTGGAAGGCAATGCACAAGGGGTTTCTAGGCTCCTGCTGCTGTGCTCTTTCTCGGTCTGGGTGCTGGTTGCATCCCTAGACTCATCGGGCTCTATATTTACATGTACGCTTTTCTGCATGTGGATTAAACTTCAACAAAAAGATTTTCGAAATGACTTTTTTTTTTAAGTGTCCTGGTTTAAAAAAATAGATTGTATGGTCACCTTAACCAGAGTTGATTTTTGTTGTTAAGACAATGTCTTGCCCCTACCCACCCTCACCCCACCCCTCCAGTCCAGGTCAGAGAAAATTTAGATATCTGGAGATGAACAAGAGATTGAAAAAGTTCACAGGTGCTTCCTTGGAAGATGAATTCCACTATATCAGCAGTGTGCAGGTGCACTTCTTAATTCTAGCAAGAAAAATAAAATCTTCTTCCCACAAAAGACATTTATGATTTAAGTATATGAGAAGATAACTTTTATATACAATTTAAATATATGAAAATATATGAAAAAACTTCATAGGATCATAAAAATGTAAGAAATTAATTATCTAGTCCGTTTTAGGCAGAAACACATCTAAACCTATGAAGACAGATGTACAGTTAGCCCCTTTAAAGCTTTTAGCATAAGATGCCAATCTTCCTATTCTGTAGTTCCATTCTAACATTTGACAGCCCTCACCATTAGGACAGTATTCTTTTTATCTAATCTGAACTCTGAAGGATTGTTACTTACTAATTTTAGTGCATATATGGAAATCTTATAAATGTTGATTGATTACATTTCCTTGAGGACATGGAGACTTTTTGGATAATTAATTCTATATTCAATGAATATTTTTTAACCATTTAATGCAACACCTTAAAAGGTATACTTTTAAAAGTTAGCTCAGCCTCTTCTCATCCCCACTTTATCCTCTCTGAGGGCAGGAAGTAAGTCTTGCTGTTTCTCCTTGTATCCTCTGAGCCCAGGACAGCCCTGGGATCAAACCGTGTAGATCTATAAGTATTTCTTTTTACTCTTCTTTTGAAATAACGTTAGATTTACATGCAATTGTAAGAAATGATACAGAGAGATCCTCTATGCTTTCCACCAAGTTTCCTTCAATGGTAACATCTTACAGAACTATAGGACAATATCACCAACAGGAAGTTGATGTGCATATAATCCACTGAACTTATTTAATTTCATAGCTTTATTTATTTTTGTGTGTGCGACCTTTAAGTATTTTTAAATAAATAAATGTGAAGTACTTTCTTCAGACCGATCAAAGTTTGGAAATCAAATTGGTGTCTACTCAAATACTGTGGCTTCCCTTCCTCATGCTTTTTCTGGCTTGATGATTCAGTGGCACACCCTATATGCTTCTCTAGCTTTCAGGGAAAGTAAAGGCTTCTTTACTCATTGAATTAGTGACCTTTTATCTTCACAGTGGAGCCTTTTGCAATCTGTGTAATTAGGCAGTAGTAAAATAAAAACAATGTGCAATATATAAATGACACATATTCCCACATCCTGGTTGAACCTCTTTTATTATACGTGCGCTCACACACACACACACACACACACACACACACACACACACACACACACACACATTGAGTCTTTGCTAGGTAGTAGGCACCATTCTAAATGCTTTAAAATGTTTACATTTTAATTCTTATCTCAACTTTATGAGGAAGGTATGATTATTATTACAATCGTACAGAGGAGGAAGCTGAGGCACAGAAAGCTTAAGTAGCTTGCTCAATCTCAATTAGTGTTTTAAAATTAATACTGCTGTTGTCATCATCACTATCATCATCATCGTCGTCATCATCATCATCATCATATCATGCAAGCACCACCCTGGGGGATAAGAGAATTTGAAAATCTACCTAGGAAAAGGAAATACTCAGGATGTGTTTGCTTGAAAAGCAGATTATGAATAGTAAATTACAATAGCTTTCTCTAACCAATCGGCATATATTATATCAAAATTTTCCAAAATCAAAACTAATCTCTGATGTTAGAAGTCAGGAGTAGTTATTAGTTTTCATGACTGAGAGGAATTACAAGTGTTACTGGAGGTAATCTCGGGTACCTGGAATGTTGTTTCATCATCTGGATACATGAGTGTGTTCATGTACTTGTGATTTAGGTACTTTTCTGCATGTATGTGGTTCTTTAGTAAAAAGTTTACCTTTAAAAAAATTATCACAGATTCAAAGACAACCATTTTTCTAGTGAAGACTTTTTAACTCTTCTCAATCCTATGAGCATCAGAGAGAAATGTGTTAAATATTCCATAAAACTGAAATCTACCCCCTTTGAGTGTTAAACCTTGATTTTTAAACCTTTTATATTTACTCAAATGTTTTTCAAATTGGTTGCACACCAGCTGTCCTTCTCTAGCAGTAGCATGACTGGAGCACCTTTTATTTATGATTTGGGGTAATCGATAAAACATATTGTCCTATTACTGTAAGAAACAGCCCTTAGGGGCTTCTGAAGGAGGAGAGGTGCTTGCTTTTGATCCAAATGGGCCTGGACAGTTAAGGAATTTTAGTCCCTGGGTCTACTTTAGAGTTTTTCTATCTCTTCTTTTAGTTTAGGGTTTATACCTCCAATCTCTTCCCTCCACTATCCTGCCTTATCTTTTATTCCTACCATCTCTAAGTTCTTGCTTATAAATTTTTATGTTGGCAAAATCTTTACATTAGCTCAATCTGGGTAGTGAAGTACATAGCGATCTGTTTATTTTCTGTATGGTTGAAAGATTTCGTAATAGTTTTGAAGATAAAACAAAATGTTTGTAAGCTTGCAAACCCATAGCAAACTAGCTTCAATGACTAAATAGGCAGCTTGTAGCAATCTGATGAGCTCTCATGAGCGAGGAATGGAGTTTCAGCATCTATCCTGGCTACAGAGAAGCTCTGCTGGATAATTGAATATGCTTCAAAATGATCTCTGGATAAATAAAAGATCATTGCAAAATGCTGCATTTGCATAAGGTGTTTACATGCTTTTAAAAAACTGTATAAATAACCAAAATATGGTGGACTTTAGGAGAAAAGAGTAACCTTAACAAATCAAACCACATTCTTAAGCAAGAAGCTATTCTCAATACTTATAAAAACTGCCTGGAGAGTGGAATTTAAATATTTCTTGCTTCTTTGGCTTGGCACTTACCTAGACACCATTCCTGAGGTTCAGTGGGAAGGAAGAAAAAAGGTCTCAGAAGCCCATGAGGGGAGGAAATGCTATCAAACAGCTAGCAACTTGTGACTGAAACAAGAGTTTTCTGTTTTCCCCAGAAAATGAAGGGAAACATGAATACATACCGATTCTCTTCAACTTACAATGGGGTTATGTCTCAATAAACCCATCATAAATCAAAAATATCATTAAGTTAAAAATGCATTCAATACACCTAACCTACTGAACATCAGAGCTTAACCTATCTTAAACATACTCAGAACACTTACATTAACTTACAGTTGGACAAATCATCTAACACAAAGCCTATTTTATAATAGAGTGTTGAATATCTCACGCAATTTATTATGTGTATTGCTATCATAAAGTGACTGTTTGTATATGTGAGAAACACATTTAAAATCTTTTTAAAAGAAAAATTATTGTGGGGCATGCTATTGTAATAAACTTAAAAAGAAACAGAGAAGGAAAGGGAAAAGAAATCAATACCTGTGTATAATTAGTCTTTGGACAATGAAGAGGAAAATGCAAACTTGAATTTGAATTATTAGAAAATTTCTCAGCTCTTAGATGCATAATCAACTCAAGAATCTGTGAAAATATATATTCTCTAAGATGCAGTCTCTAGTTTGACACTGGCTTTCCATCAACATACCATTATCTATCTATCTATCTATCTATCTATCTATCTATCTATCTATCTATCATCATCATCTATCTATCTAT